ACAGTTTTTGTCCCCACCCTTCTTCCCCCCCCCCTAACATTTACTTCAACAGGTTCAGCAGGTTTCCAGAAGAGTCATCGATATAACACATAACCAAACTCTTTCCTCCTCAAACAGGGTTTTTATCTTTTTTTCTTTTGGGAAGGTGTTGGATAAATGTTTCTGCTCTTAACATGTTGTGTATTTCTTATGTATTTCTTCTGCACAGGGCCAGTAATGTGAAGTGGACATAGAGTAAATGCTACATTGTCAGAAAAAACCTTTGTTAAATGTTTGGATGCAGACGCCATGATGAAGATCTTTATTTCATTGGTTTGAGTGTTTAAGCTAGATCGCAGACCAGCTCCAAAGTCAAGTATATATAATTTTTTTTCCTTTTTGTTTTGCCACTTGTAAATGAACGGTTTGTTTTTAGTCGGGTAATTTTGGTCATTCCAGCTCCTGTATCTCCTGTATCTCATGTAGTTCTGAGACTAAACTATAGTCATTTCCATGTAAATTATCTCAGTTTTAATATGATATGCCTGTTGTGTTTTGCAATAAAACAATGAAACCTCCTGTGTTGGTAAGTGGGGTGCAAAAGTGGGGAATGTTTTGTAAAAATGTCATTAACTGTTTTGGGACATGGGGGTTTATGCAAATTTACAGAACAAAAATGTTGCTCTACTGTTGTTTTTTCTTTTCTTTTTTTTCCTTTCAACTCTATTACTCTTGATTTTTAGTTTGATTCCTGGTCTATTTTAAAGTCACAAGTAAAAGATCATTGATCATTTGACATTGCTTGTTTGACACATGGACAGCTCTGTTTTTATGCTGCATTTTTTTTTTTTACTGGTCATTGCTGTGGATGTAGGTGTAGGCAGGTTATCTAAGGCAAGGTGGCTTGATGTTGGCAAGGTATGTGATTCATGCAATAACTCTTCAGTGCTGTAGTGTTGCTCATTCTTGTACTGCATTTTACCTGGTTTGTTGAGGTAGTGTGCACTGTTAATGAGAGACATTTCCTCCCTCACAGGCGAGATTAGGAAGGCGGTAAGAAGTATGCGTCTTTACATAAACTGTTCCTTTTTATATTGTGACTGCAATCATGCTGCAAGTATTTTAGTTTGTTCTCCCAAGTTTGCTGCTTTTTTACAGGGCAGGTCAAGTGTTCTGATCAACAGTTATGTCTTGCGAAATTACTTGTCCCCATCCTATATTTTACATGTCTAAAACCTACAAATTGTGTATATATTTCTATCAATATTGCTGGCATTATTAAAAACATTCTGATACGATTAAAAAGGCTCGAATGCGAACATGGACTACTTTTTTTTTCTGCCCATTGTCTGTTAGCATTCCTCCAATATAGGCCTATAGGTTTTTGGAGACTCTGGCTTCCTACACCAGTGAAATGAGCTCTCCACTGTAAGTACAAAATGTACATGATTTTGCGGCCCAATTTGTTTTTTTTGCTGTCAATGCATTGTCTTTGACTGAATGAAACGCAATGTATATAAATCTCTAAATGTTGCCCTTTTTTGGGTAAGTATGTCAGGGCTGTAATTTTGATTTGACATGTTCAAGATAATAATGACCTGACCCTTTTTCACATTGGACTGTTATTTTTTGCCATAACAGCATTATGTGATATTTACAAATTGAGACATTGCCATGTTGACACTGCTTTAGTCATTTAGGACGTGTCTCTCAGACTTCTCATATGAAACTGAACTGTACCACTGTGTTCGAGTCAGTCCGTCTGTAGAAACAGCAACTTTTTCCATCTGCGAATGTGTGGTTTAACATTGACTAGACATGTAAATTGTCTTTTTGTGATTTGACAAGTGTTTTATACTGCATAGCCCATAAAGACCGTCAGCAAATGGCCTCTTTCAAATGTTAATTAGTATTAATGTCCTATTTCTAAATCTGTGCCTGACCTGTTTGTGATTAAGGTCATTGAGGCTATCGATTTGATGCGTTTTTTTTTTTTTTTTTCTCGACTGTTCATTAGTGAGCAGTGCAATGTCTAATCTTGCAGTGTCATCCCTGACCTTGCACCTTAGGTTCTGCAGCAATAACACAGGTAAGAGTATCCTAAGAAATCAAAACGATTGAACCTGTGATCTAGTGTAATGCTTTTCACCTTTGAAACTGAGGTCGATTTGTGCCGCTGTTTAAATGAAGGATGTCTCTCGTAGTAGATAGACTGACGTTCGTCACAAACGTCAGAATTAAGATTTCTTGGAAGTATGCATTTTTTTTTGTCCATATGAATTGCATGGCCTTGACCTGTAGTTCACAAATGTTTTCCTCTGTTGAAATCTAACTAGAATTATGCTGTTTTTTTTGTCCTAATTGAAACAAATGTGATTTTGATTTGCTCATTTGTTAGCTTCCTGGTAAGTCTGTTTAGTGTGGTTCTGTTCTACTCTTACACCATGCATGCAGATGCGAAATGATCCAGAGTTAGCCCTATTAATGCACTCACTGATAACTGACGTATACCATGTATGCTCATGTTTCATTGGTTTGCAAGCTTTCTTGTTGCCCCTCTGTAGTGCTAATGTTTGTCCCACATTGCTGCCTTCATTCTCACTCACAGTGTTGAAGATGCTGCAGGCGTAGTTCGTAGAATCAGGTCCTGAGCTAGTTTGTCCGTAAGGAGGACTCCTTTGAATCTGTCCCTCCGCTGAACGTAGACCGTTCAAAGGGCTCCAGTTATAAGGTAAAAATATCATGAGGAATCTGTCATTGCAAAGTCAATGTTACTGTTAGTTTAGGGTGATGCCAGTTAGTTTTGATTATAGAAATGTAGCCATATGCCTCTGTATTATTGGTTGACTAATGGTTCTATGAAATGTTTTGAGTACATTCTTTGCCTTTTGTTGATAAGTGTAGGGATTTTATGTGCATCAATGCTGTACAGGTGGACCATGACCAGGAACTTTTTTTTTTCTTTCTTTTTAGTAGACATTTGCCAGGCTGGTTTTTGTTTGTTAAACAGTTTCTTTAAACCTAGTCTTTATCCATTGCTGCATATCGTTTTGTATGCATGCAAGATGTTTCCTTTTTGAGCAAATTGTTCACAACAGAATTCGTGGGGGTCTAAAAACGAAGAGAAAATCGGAGGCTATCTGAGAAATTTGGAGCATGCCTTTGAGGTAAAACTAACATGAACTGTTAAAGTTGTTGAATGTACTTTTGATTTTTGTTGAGAATTGTTGGTCTGAAATGTTAGATTGTTGCCATTGTCATCAATAAAACTAATCATTAAAATTGGCTTTGAGGTTTTTATTTTTCATTTAGTGATTTCAGTGTTCAACTAATGTATACTGGCTTAACATGTTATGAACAATACAGCCTCAAATCCACATATTACAGAATACATCAAATGTTTGAACTTCGTCACAATACATGTACTATTTTTAAGTTATGTAATGACTTAAATTCATAACAGCCAGCTGTTCCACGTAATTCTCATGGCATCATTAAGAGTAGGGAAGTCTAAACTGAACTCATGGCCAGTGTTGAACATTAATTGCCATAAAAGGTTTGGAGACTCTTAATTGACCTACATATGACAATCTTATGAATAACATCCTTGTTTCAGAACTATGAAAATACAGAGTGAAATCTTTCAAATCTCAAAACATAAAGGACCCAAAAACTCCAATCATTTGTTGTGCAAATCATTAAAAGTAAAAAATTAAAGCTACTGGAACACCACATGAAAGGCCTATAAAATACATCTCTGCCCCTTCTTACCCGCTTCATTTTAATCACTACACAAACTCTATACTGCATTAACATGGCACTAATAATGACTTGGAAGACAAGAGTCATGATGTGCAGTCGACTTAGCAGCTGTAGGCAATGAGTTAAACATCCATGAAAATGTGGATGATACAGATGTAGCTCACTGAACCTGTGCTTCCAGCAAAGCACTGGGTAGCAGGTGCAAAGGTGTGCCACTACAACCATTTAGGTGACGGATCATGTCAGTGCCTAGATAGGCAAGAAGCAGTTCAGAACGTCTGTGAAGCAGGTGCAAGATGTCCTCAGCCAGAGTGTCCAGACTAGAGTAACGCACTTTATCCAGATCGAAAATGTCCTTCATGAAGAACAGCACCTGTTCCTGTGGACAAAAGATAAATAATTTTGTTCCTGAATGACTACATTCAACAAAGCTGACATTGAAGGCATTTGATGAAGATTATACCTTGGGAGTCTAACATACCCAACAGACCCCTGATCATCAGTATTAAGTCTGGCAAACACTATCTTATTCTAGCCTAATCTGGGTTCTTCAAATCCAGCCATGGAGGGCCACTACCCTGCAGAATTGAATCTTTACTCAAAGACACCTGAGCAAGCTAATCAAGGTCTAGAAAATTACAGGTAGGTAAGTTTGATCAGGGTTTGGCTTAAACTCTGCAAGACAGTGGACCTTCCAGGGCCAGATTAGAAGAAATGTACCCTGCTTGAGCAAAGAGCTAGCAGAATCTTTTATCCAGGGGTGTCCAATCCTGCCCCTTCTCACATTGGAATGAGAACAATCATGCGCACCATATTGAAGGGTCATTCCAAACCAAAGTGCTCAAAACTGGCCACTTCAATGAACCCTTAAAGGATGAACCAATGAACACTCCCATGATTCTTTGTGGGGGTAAACCCTTTTAAGGGATTAGGGCATAGGTATGAACCCTTCAAAATGGAATGCAGCAGAATGAAGCTTTCCAAGGTTACTAGCAACTTCTAGTCAGGTAGGTTGGAGCAGGAGGTTTGCAGTAAGGTGGCCCTCCCAGAGCAGGACTGGACACCCCACTTTTAATCCAAAGAGATGCACAGGACACTCACTTTGGACCAGGGGTGCCCAAACCTTCCTACAGAGTTTAGCTCCTGCCAGCTCCAACACACTTGCCTGGAAGTTTCTATTGAGTCTGAAGACCTTGATTAGTTGGTCCAGGAGCTAAATTCTGCAGGACAGTGGCCCTCCAGGAACAGGGTTGGATACCCCGGCTCTGGACCAAGGGTCTCCAACCCTGTAGAGTTTAGCTTAAACCCTAACTAGACACAACAGAAGCAGCTACTCAGGGTTTTCAGGATTATCGGAAACTTCCGGGCAGGTGTGTTGGATTGGCTTAGAGCTAAACTCTACAGGAAAGTGGCCACCCAGAATCAGGATTGGACTCCCTGGACAAACCATGGTCTTGTTCAGTTGCACAAAATTTCATGGACAAGCACTAAGCCTTGTAGGATCTTTAACCCAACAGCAACCACATTTAATTGTTTGTCATTTAAGAGCAACTAAATCTGAAACTGGCTGTTACTACAATAAGGCTGGTCAGCAACAACAGGTGACTTGATCAGAACTATGAGGACGTTTTTCCATTATTTGCCTGATCATCTGTTATCCAGTATTAAACTTACAAAATTTTCATAATTGCATGTTTTTCTTCCAACAAAACAATTGGACAGTTCAAAGACTTATTGCCAATACACTTGGCAAATCCATGAACAAGTTGTTGCTTGGAAGTGTGCAGTGCAGTAGAAGGCCAGCCAAACAAACTGGATATGGTCATTTTCACCAGTCCTTCCCAATTTGTCCTGCAGAGGTAAATTCTCAGCTTTCCAATTGTCAGTTTTATCATAAGTCGTAAAGCTTTTAAATGTGGTGACAGGTCGCTGTAGCTGTCTCAGTTCAGACTACAACACTTGAGCACACATGAACCAATAATCTCTTCCACTTTACTAGTCATAGCACATATGCATGTGACAGTCAGTGTATGTAGGCACGCCATCTGAAGCTGACATGCTTTAAGAGACACAGAGGTCATCAAATTACATCTTACCTTGAAGAAGCAGCAGAAATCGTGCAGGGAACTTTTAGGGCCTAGAAACCCCCAGGCCAAGACAGGACTTATGTGTTCACACACTGCATAGAAATGCGCAATGAAGCCATCTTGAACCTGTACACACAAAATAAAATATTAACAAACATATTTCCTTTTCTTCAAATCTTTCAAGTCTGGCTGTCTGGAGAGATTAAACTGCTTTACTCTGGTACAACAATCAAAACATTTACATTTTCAACAATACCTTCATATTTTGCCTCTTCTGCTTCAGAACAGACCAACAACTTGATGCAACGGCCTATGATGGTAAAATACAGTAACAGTTTTATTAAATATTAATGTGTAGCTGAATTGTGATTTTGCTGAAGTCAGATCTAATGCTAGAGATTCTGTACGCACCGTCTCTTTGAAGGAGTTGTTGAGCCAACGATTGTTGACTACATTTTGAATAGAGATAGGTGGATTCTCAAGATCCTCAAATGAGTCCATAAGGATGAAGTCAAGAACAATATCATAGAAGTCCAGGTGTTTAACCTGAAGAGTAAAAAAGGATAAACATTAAACAAAATTAACTGTGTTTAAATAACCGTTTAATATCCAGGACAGGTCTTGTATAACAAGACATGTCTCACCCCTCTTGCAGAAAGCTCCATTTCTGTGTTCTCCCAATGTTCCGTTTGCTCCAGAAAGCAAATCATTTCTTCAAACACCTCCTCAAATCTCTTTGGGCTCTGTAAACCACACAACAGATAAGTTGGGTTGGGGACTCTTCATGTGTGACCACATGGAAGAAAGGACCAGACACTCACCTTCCTTGCTTTAACAATTATTGAAGATAATATCCTCTTTCCTGTGTCAGCCAGAAATGCTCTAGTTGCTCTTTCACATAAGATGACCTGAATTAAAATACAATGTAGAGTTTAAAAGTTTGCCCACATAGGCCCCATTCCAATTGACACACTTCATGTACACTTGTGGTCTTGAGGACTTAACATGCGCATGCCCATGAAGTTCACAAGACCGTAGGATGTCCTATTTGTCATTTTTGTGCAGTTTTTCAGAGCATGCACTGAGGTGAGTTCCACAGCAGACTTCAACCCAATAGTCGTTATAGTTGCGCCGCCTCTACTACCATGACTCCTAAAAAAACCTTTTTCATTCCGTGTCGCCCCATCAAGCTCTAGCTGGATCCGCTCCTCAGCTATCAACGAGAGGAACGTCTGTTCTTCCGCAACAGACAACAAAACTTTTTGGTTGTTAAAAAAAGGTGCGCTCGTTCAAAACAGTTGCGTTCGATCCTTCGCTGGCTGTGCTGATTTAAATCTAGCGGTTCTTTTGTGTTTGTGTCGCAAGTTCAGTGACGCAGGTAGTGACGATTCTCTCCGGCCAATCCGTGATCAGCAGAGTTTACACGTCACGATTTGGTAACGGTACGGTTCACTTGGAACCCCAACCGAGGTGGTACTAAAAAAAGTACCAGGTACCAGGTACTGTACCCAGTGGAAAACCCCCAAAAAGTGAACCGTACCGAGCCGTACCATGCAGTGGAAAAGCGCCAAAAGTGGCATTACGTAACAAAAGCGTGGACTTGGAGGAAGACCAGTGTCGCCAAGTTCTTCCACGGAATTGGGCTACTTTTATTCTGTTGCAGTGGGTTGTTTTTTTTTAGTCTGCAGGTTAAAGCAAAACACCCCATCCCCTCTGAATGTGATTTTGACCGAGGTGGAACCCCTTGGAAGGAGGTTTTGACCTCCTGGAAGGCGATTCTAGAGGAATTTGGATGTGATTTTGATAGCAGTTTTCTCCTGAAATGCATTTGGGCCATGATTGGGCTACTTTTGAGTACCAACTGGGCTGGTTTTGTTATGCAGACCTGGCAATCCTAAGGAGCACTGTGAGGGCTTATGGTGCCATTTGGGACAGGACCACAGACCCGCAACTTAATCTGCCCAATGCTAGACCATTAACATGAACTGTTAATTTAACTTGACAACTTGAAACAAATGCAATAACCACCCTACCCCCCACTTAATCAAAACTGCATTATATTTTAAACATTGCAACATCACAATAACAACTACTGGTATATACAAAACAAAATGCTTCACAGTAACATTAAAACCACGCCAGTACAATAACATGGTACCAGTACAATTACATAGCAATCAGTGGTCTTAAAGGGTTAGTTCACCCAAAAATGAAAATTAGCCCACAAATTACTCACCCTCAAGTCATCCTAGGTGTATATGACTTTCTTCTTTCAGACGAACCCAGTCGGAGTTATATTAAAAATTGTCTTTGATCTTTCAAGCTGTTTAATGCCACTCAGCGGGTGTTGCATGCATCAGTCCAAAAGAAGTTAAATAAAAAGTGCCCATCCATAAAAAAAGTGTCTCACACGGCTCAGGGGGGTGATCAAAGGCCTCCTGTAGAGAATCGATGCGTTTTTGTAAGAAAAATATCCATATCCAAAACGTAATAATAACTTTAATGTAGCTTGCTAAAGTTCAAAGACCATTTTTAGTATAACTCCGACTGGATTCGTCTGAAAGAAGAAAGTCATATACACCTAGGATGACTTGAGGGTGAGTAATTTGTGGGATAATTTTCATTTTTGGGTGAACTAACCCTTTAAGCCCACTTAACTCTGAAATGTGTTACTTTCAGAACATGAGAAAGAAATCCTTTACCTGACACGCCTGCCGTACACAGTGCAGCTTTGCCAGGAAATCAGTGTCTCCAAGACATTCCAGCACTTCAGTTCTGTTTTTTTTTTAAAAGACCAGTGAACAACAGTCTACATAAAACATATCAACTTAAAATAGAACTCAGCTCTGCACAATATTTTCAGAAATGTGTGCAAACGAACAGATCTATAAAACAAATCAGTTCATACTTTCAAATCAGTTTGATTAAGCCACATTCAAATATCCAATGCACACGTACCTATGAACATGACTGAACTTTGTTAAAGCATCTAGTCGACAATATTATCTATAGTTAGTCTAATAAACTATATGAATTGAAAAAATGATTACTGTGTTTATTATTAATACATTTATTCAATACACAACTATATTGAACACTAGATTCTGATTGGCCAGTCAGGTGTTCTGTGGTCCCCCATGCTTGACATACTTGACTCACCGTAGCACTCGACAGGAGATCTTCCCTTCCTCGGCCATCTGCAGGGCATCCTCATAGAAGGGGTGATGACACAGTGACCCCAGCGCATGGGCACTCCTCATCTCTCTGTGCTCAGATAACTGAATCAAATCACAAGATTTAAGACCTTTTTGTGTAATTCTTTAAACTTTTGTATATTTCTTATATATAGGTTGGTGCCTATGTGTCCACACAAAGTGATTAAGTAATGAAATCAGGGACAGATTTAAATTACGCAGGATTATTACCCTTAAAGTACTCTCACAGTACCATGGTAAAATCAAGGATTACTTGAAAGCTGTATTTAGCATGATAAATGAAGAAAACCATAATTCATGTCCAATGCCATGGTGCTTTTTATTATTGTAGACTACACATGATGAGAGGCATATGTGATCTGAAGCCTGTGCTGGCAACCGTGAGTGCTGAATAACCCAAAAAACAAAACATTTTCATGTTGAATCCCGTAATACATGAAGGTCTGAGAGATGTGACTGATGTACATCAACGTGTTAGTAAGGTTCAAACTGTCCAGCGTGTGTTCCACACAAGCTGACTGGCACAGAGACTTCCCTCTCACCTCTGCGGCAGAGACGAAGGAATCTGTTGAGGCGATGCTGATTGAATCTCTCAGACAGGTGTCCTCCAAGTCCTCCCGCACGGCGAGATCCATGTGCTTATCTGCCACAGTAAATGAGGGAAGATTAGACTGAAGTGTCCTTATCTCACATGGGTGAGCGAACTGGTCTAGTTCCAAAACAGCAGACTGCATAAACCGATTCAACTGCATTGAAGGACAAATGTGTTTATAGGGTTTGCATGTGAAAGGGTGTGAATCGAGTGTGTTGTGCCATGTGTTCTGGGAAGTGGGTAAGAGGTAGACCTGTAAACAGTCGTAAGGAAAGAACTTTGGACCATGACCAGCTTCTTTATTTAGATACAGAACATGAGCTGAGCCTCAGTAATACGCAGCAGGCGCAGCTGCATAAAGCAGAACGTGCAGAGTTGCACAGCCACTGTGTCCGTTTCTTTGTTTGATGAAGAAGGCATCTTCAAAACATCTTGCGTGTTCCACAGCAGAAAGAAAGTCACAGGTTTGCATGAAGAAAACAAAGTTATTGGCCACAATTGGTTTACACCTGCAGATACTAGTAATAATAGAAATAGTCACTATTATCAAATACTGTTATTGAAATCTGGCCCCACTTTTCTTAATTTCTTCATAATCTTCTGCCACATATTGCAAAGTCTCATTTTAGCAGCCAATCACAATCATTATGAGAAAACATAAACAATCACCATGGACAATGTTCACCTGCTGATAGACACACGTGTAACTGCTCACACTACACTTTTCTTTCACTTGACTTCGATTCATACGCATATTTTAAAACTGAAAGGTGAATATTTGTTATTGAATATTGTTATTGACAAAATTGTCTTCCATTGATCTATTCATTGCTTGAATACAAACATGTTCAATTCCAGACCCCAAAAATCCAAGGACTGGGAATGCAGTACGTTTTTACTCAGTTAATTCAGTGCGCTTGATTTTTTCCCCCTTACACAAGCAAGTTGTTGTTTTGGTCTCCAGTGGTCTGTTGTTCCATTTCATTTGTTTATTTTTTGACTGGGAAACAATGGACCGGGCCGGTGTTGCCAAAAATTCAAAGTGCATGTGCCAGCTGATTGTACATAGTAAATGCAGTTAGAAACATTTGGCTGTGCACATACAGTACGTGCGTAGTATTCTGACAATGAAATTTGCTTCATGCAAACTGATGGCTAGATATAGATGGCTAATTTTGTGCCACAATCAAACAGTTGTTGTTGTATGTTATAAGAAACCTCTGGGACACTTCAGTCTCTTATCTGTTTTTTTCCTTCTTTGTAATTCATTTTTGGCAGGTATAAAATCTGCCTTCCATGTTTAAACAGAAATAGTTTGGTTTTTACATTATTATTACTTTTACATTGAGATATATGAATCCATTAGAAGTTATGGTTGAAATAATAAAACGCAACACAAGGTGCATTATTTATGCCATGTATCACACATCAACCTGTCACACATCAATAAAAAAGTAAATTTTTAGAGTACAGTTATAGTTCACAGAGCCAAGCCCAGTAATTAATGTTACATAAGATCAATCATTTACTTCCACACAGTCATCTATTGACACAGTTGTCTTTAGTTTAACGCTCACCGTTACTAGGACGTGTTGAAGGGTCTGTCATTCCCAGTGCTCCCTCAAACTCCTCCTGGAGCCGATAGGCTCTCTGTAGCAGGGACTCCAGCTTCCGAATGAATTCTACACTGATGATGTCCTAACAGATAGTAAAAATTAGAATACTATGTTTTATGAGCATGGAGACTCAGCTTAGGAAACATGGCTAAGTAAACTGGGCCCACACATTAACATTCTGTTAATGTTTTTAAAAATATAAAAGTGAGCATTAGTGGGAAATGTACCCTAAATGTAAAACTAAGTCAAATGAGCATGAACAATTAAATATCCAATATTAAGGGCAAATATTGAGTTTTTGCCTTCTATTTATATCATATGATATGGTTTATCAATATCACATGAGCTGTTTTTTCCCCAAATATCTGCATGATTGCAAATGTGATTGATTTTTTTTACAACAGTTAATATAAACAAGAAATTAATACTGTATTCCATTTTAGACACAATATTCTCTGTTTTGCTCAAATTCGCCAACAAAATAGCTCCAAGCAAAGCAACAGTAGAACCGTTGTGTCTTTCCGAGCAACACACAGCGTGTTTTGTTACTGAATGAATGAGTCGAGAGAGCAAATGATTCAGTGACCCAACATAAAGACAGACACTTGCTTCATTTCTGAATGAATCACCTGGAATCAGTTGAGTGAATGAGTGAATGACTCGATCATTAAGACAGTGACTTGCCGCCACCTACTGGCGGTTTTAGTTTCATATTTAAAGGAGACATATTATGCCCCTTTTTACAATATGTAATATAAGTCTCTGGTGTCCCCAGAATGTGTCTGTGAAGTTTCAGCTCAAAATACTCCACAGATCATTTATTATATCATTTTGAAAAAAATTGAAAGAAACAGGCTGTTTTTCGTGCCTGTCTCTTTAAATGCAAATGAGCTACTGCTCCCC